CCCCAAAACCCCAAAACCCCAAAACCCCAAAACACCCAAGCATCTCTTGAAAAGATTATTATTTAATAACCCCATGTTTTTCAGCGACCAAGAGAAAGATGTCTGCGGTGACTTGTTCTCGTTCACTGGCATTTTCGGCCAAAATGAAGAAATCCTTAAGGCCAAAGGTAAGCAAGTGTCTTTTTGGTGTAGAGAATAGGGAGGATACGTTCGAGAACAAGCTGGAGGAAATGCATGGGCTTATAGAAAGACCAGGTGATAGTGAAGAAGGGTGCAGGAAGGCGATCAAGGAGAAGAGAGAGCGAGGAAGGATTAATTCTAAAGTGTCCAGGCAGAGGAAGAAGCAGTATGTGAGAGAGTTGGAAGAGCAGGTTGAGGAGCTGAAGTAAGGAAAATCTCAGGCTTGCTAGTCTTTTGGTAAAGTATAAGGAAAATGGAGAGGAGAAAGGGATTGGAATGACTGATCCGAGTAAGATCGCTATTGAGATCAATACTGGGATCAAGAAAGTGGTTGCTGATTCATTGAATAATAAATCAAATCAGCATAATGATATGTTGCCTGATAAAGGTGGAAAATTTTGGATCACCCCTGTTGAAAAATTAAGAAAAAAGTTTTAGTATTTTTCTTGATGAAATTTTTAAATTAATTATCAACAATCTTTATCCAAATCCGAGAGTTAAATATTGGAAGAATTGGAATAAAGAGTACTCAACAGATTATGATATTATCAAAAAGGTACTTGCTAAACTTCCTCTCTAACTACCCATAGCTTAATAATTGTTCGAAGTACAAAATGCCAGAATTTATTGAGAAACACAATATATCAGAACTTGATGAATTTGTGGCTTCACTAAAGCCTACCAAGAAACAGTTTAACTTTGTTAAAGTGATACTGACCAAAGAGTTTGAGATAAAGCAAAAATACTCTGAGATTGTAAAGATCTTATGCAAAGTAAAGACAATGATCCAAGAGGCTTGTTGTGAAATGTACAGTGTCTCGAACATCTCTCTCAGATCAGGTATTTTCTCAGACAAGACCTTGATCAATTCCAGATTTGCACAAGGATTTCTCAAAGAAGATGATGCCTTCCTTAATATCTGGAACGTCCAGTCTGAACCACAGACTTATAAGAAAGACTTAGGGAAGGATAAGATAGTTGGCAGGCTGGCCAAAAGTCTTCTTCCGAAGTCTGACATCATTTGATCCTTTGATTTTCTGAACTTTTCAATCAAGGATTAAATTAGGAAACAATTAGGAACACTCATTTTAGGAAATTAGCGACCAGAATATTATAATTATTCGATGTTCGCAATTAGGAGTTGATTCTAGGGGTTTTGGGGTTTTGGGGTTTTGGGGTTTTGGGG